AAAAAATATTATATATATAATATAATTCGCATCCGTATCTATGAAAGAAACATAATTTAAAGATAAAAATTTATCAATCTGCTTCAATGAAACCGAGAGTATAGCTCAATTGTAGCCTTTGTTTTAAATTGTCCCGGCGCCTCCACCAAAATTTTCAAATAATTTTTTAATGAGATTAATGTATTTTTGTAAATGTCTTATTTTCGACATTTAAACGATACTTTACAAGATTAACCTTTCTATAACGACCAATAGAACTCGTTGTAATACCTCCTATAAGTCAAATTAACGAAAAGTTTTCGAAATATGCAGATATAGATGTGGAAAAAATCAGCTTTGAAGCTGCCTTGGTCTTTTCGAGCCTGCCCTTATTACAGTTCTGTGTATGTAGTGTATAGTTTGTAATGCCGATCTGTTTTTGAAAGATAATCGATAGAATTACGATTAAATTTGAAGAGCTTATTATCAATTTTCACATGGGTAGTTAAAGAACTTTTCCAATTTCACTCGACTTATTATTATTTAAATCTTTTCTATTATTATTTAAATCTTTTTTCAATATACATTTGAAAATTTTTGATAGCGCACCCTTATGCACTTAAAAAATTGGAAAGGAAGCATCCCCTTTGAGGAACGAGTATACGTAGGGTAAAGCATCCCGTATGATGCTAAATTAAATTCAGAGGGGTTAATTTCTTTTGTTTAATTGCATTGGTACTATAATAATAATTGTGATTAATAGCAGACTTACATGTAGTATTAATACAAATTAATTTCTATTACTTTATCTTTGACACATTTTTGAAAAATTTTTTGAATATATACGTTTTGATTTATTAAATATTGTTCGCGACACCCTAGGGGAGTTGTAATCCCCACTTTAACAATCATTGGTTTCCGTTTTTTGTTTCTTTTGTTTCGCTTTTCCTTTTTTATGGACTCTTCAACTAAAAGTCGCCTGGTTTAGCCCTGGAATTATCCACTTTTCTTGTAAATTGACTTTTCTTTTTTGTGTCTAGATAAGCAATAATTTCTGAAACATTTCCTGCCTTATCACTTTAAATATCCTTTTACGTACTAAGGGACCATAAAAATGTCCACCATCGACTCGTTAATAATGATCGATTTTATTTGGTGGGTAAATTCATATATTTTGTTGATCTTCACTCAAAACTTTACATTTAGTTGGTTTATTAATTAGTAGTTAATTGTAAATGTAAAAGAAATTAGAAAATTGGTTATTGTCGTTTTTTTTTTCTGATTAAATTTTCTTAAATGTAATTCAAAAGAATAAATTTGGTAATTGTTGATGGTCATTGTGGACGGTTAATTGTGAAACTATTGAGATATTCATCAAGCTACAGAAACATAGTCAATAGTTTTCATTTTTTAAAAAAATTATACAAAATATTGGTGGAGGCGCCGGGATAATTTAAAAAAGCGACGCAATTTTGGTTTAAAAA